AGAGGGCGAGAGAGACGCCACCAGGCACCTGGACCTGTACCGATAGACACCTGTGCAGAATCCTCTCCCCCACGGCACAGAACAAGGCCAGTGATGAAACGAGCTGTTAAGACGCAGCTCCCGGATAATGAACATCTCAGGGTCTGATGGCCCCATGATGGGGCCGCCATGCTGGAGAGACGTGCTGGCCTCTCGCCAGAAAGCCGGCTTTAGGGAGGAGGGGACGCCTAAGCGTAGGCTGGGGCATGCTGGGAAGGACACGCCTCGACAGTCTGCCGTCGACACGGTCAGCCTGCCTGAGACGGTGCTGAAAATATCAAAGGACACGCAGGCCTGGGAGGAGATTCGCTTCAGAAATGAGTGCAAATAGCTTCTTTATTTGTACACGATCAGGCATGTTTGGAGGAGCCGCAGATGGGCCAGGTCTTCCACGCCCTCATGTGCATCTGCTTTCTCCTCCAAGGAGGCTCTGCTGGAGTCGGCCCCTCGTGGATAACTAAGTCGACTATCTCCACTGCAAAACTGAGGCGGCTTGTACTCCTGGGACGTTTCAGCCGAGAATCTCCTCCTGTTTTTCACAGACTACCTTCTTGGATCCTGGCAGAAGGACAGTTCTGGTTCTGGGATGGTTCTGGAAGCTCGGGTCAGCTCCCGTCCGCCTCTGCACACTGCCCACCGTGCTCGGCGCCCCCTACTCACAGGATTATCCCATCTCCCCATCTGCTGTGTTCCTGAGAAGCCCCAGACTTGCAGATCATCGCCCGACCGCTGTATCCCTGCCCAGTGATGTCTCGCACTAGAGCTTCCTGATGACGGTGGTTCCAAGGTGCACGGCTCATCTGCAGATAAACACCCTGCTTAACACGCTCAGCAACCCCACAGGTGTAAATATTTCTTTTTAAGCCGTTTTTATGTTTGTACTAAAGGCCAAACACAAGCAATATCGCATTAGGGCTGCAAGATTTGCTTCAGATATTATGTGGGGACCGGCACAGCACTTAAACTCCACACAAACCTTGAAATGGATATGCTGTCAGAGCACCTGTGTCAGTCCCTGCTGAAGATGCAGTGACGAGGCCTGTAGGGGGCAATATACGCCAGTGTGCAGCGCAGCTGAGAAGTGCCTTCAGGTCACCCCTGGTCAAGTCGAGGCCCTAGGGCTACCCACCCATTTAAAGGAGCTTCCGGATCTAAATGGACATGACCTTCTATACAGTAAAAAAAACAAAAAACAATAAAACTGTTCTATTAACAGACTAATAAATTGCATTAACTGACAAAGCACAGAGATATTATGCCGAACTAGGAATTATCCGAAAACAGAGGAATGCCGGACCAGGAATGATGGGAGCGGAGAGGAATGCTGAACCAGGAATGATGGGAGAGGAGAGGAATGCTGAACCAGGAATGATGGGAGCGGAGAGGAATGCTGAACCAGGAATGATGGGAGAGGAGAGGAATGCTGAACCAGGAATGATGGGAGCGGAGAGGAATGCT